CATTACACCCTGCAACACCCTTCCCAGGCAGCACCCTCGCATTTGCCCATAACTCACTGCTGAGCTCATAGAAGATGCAAAGACGTGGGCTGAGGCGCTCACTCTGGCTGATGGGAATGTACTGACTGCTGAGAAAACTTGTGAAAAGAATGTTACTATCACTGTTCTACTTTGATACACATAAATAGGCCCGCATGTATGGTTCCACATGAATCAGAAGCAAAAAAATGCAGAAAGAGAGGATGTCTAGCTGTTTGTTAGAAAGAGAGAATGTCTGTTTGTTAGAAAGAGAGAATGTCTGTTTGTTAGAAAGAGAGGATGTCTGGCTGTTATTATTTGTTATATATCACTGGATGCAAACTGACAAGTAATACCCCAAAAATTTTACTGTATAACCTTTTCATAATCTGGTACAAAAATGTTCTCGGCTAACCTCGGCCGTGAAACTAAGCGAACCACAAGTTCAATAAAAGGTCAAAACTCTTTTTGCAGCAGTGACAGCGAAATGTTTCCTCTGAGGGTTGATCAGCCTTTCACAACATCTGGGAGGAATAGCTGTTATAACCTCGCCTCGCTGCTACAACCTTTTAGCATATTGACTGCCGGTGATGTTGAGATCCTCAGTTACTCTGTTAAACCTCAAAAGTACTTCATAGATAGATGTTTTTTAGTGCTCTAGTGGAAATATATTAATCAGTGTCCAGCTTATGATTCAGCAAGGAAAAAAAGAATATTTGCTTCGGGGTAAGAAAAGAATGATAATATTATATTAACCACAAATTTTAAGGACAAATGTAAATATTAATGTGGCACAAAACCAAGATTTTTAGATGCCTGTGTAACTGAGGATTTGCGTAAAAAGTACTTAAAATAAATATATAAAAAGCAGTGTATAGAATAACAGCTTTAAGCCAATTTAATATCTCAATTGGATACAACATAAAGGATTATTAACACAATTTTTACTGTTGCATGAAAGAAAATGTTTAATGTGAGCCTTTACCTTCTACCAAACGGCAAAAGCTCATTTTCTTTGTAAAGGACATGGTTAGTCAGTCACCTGCTCACTGATTAGGATCTAGTACCATCTCTTTGTTCTTTTTAACATTAAGCAACAAGTTAACAAATTACTATTACTATTTAACCACCACTGTCACACTACTGACTCAGCAAAATGGGTATAATAGTGTCACAAATGACAACTGGCTCACAAGTCAAAACCCAAAGAATTAGGTCCAACAAGAATAAATAATATAGTCTGTGGTTAATTTATAGTCAGACTCAAAGCAATTATAAGCCTGACATCCAAGGTAATTTAAGAAATTCAAAACCCATTTTCCCAGAATTATAGCTGTATAAACATTTTCTTGACACAAATTTGAAGATTTACTGAGAAGAAAGTCTCGAGACAAATCCCAGAAGAAGGCAGACACACAAACATGTTAAATGTGAAAGCTCTCTTGTAGGTTAGAGCTGAGCACCATCTTTTTTGATTACTTTGATGATGAATAATATGTACATTTTTGAAACATTGGCATTATCAATTTTAATATCAGAATTTGTATGAAGACAGAATATTTTCAGGCTTTAATAAAATAGAACACATGCAGCATTTCTACTGTCTTAGAGAATAAATACCAACTGCACACTCCTTTTACTATGAAGAATAATAATAAATAAACCCCACAGATTGATTAGAATGAGTGACTTCACTAAAAGCTCTTAATGTGTTTCTCTGAGCGCACACAACCAAAACTGTTCACAAGCCACTGGGAAGCTGTCATTAAGCACTTGACACAGCAGAGGCTCAAATCGGGCTGTAATGGTCGGTTGTTTCTCATAACAGTCAGATTATCGCCCCGCAGTCTGACGTCTACAAATGCTGCTAGGGAAAACACAGGAACCGCAAAGTCGCTTTGAGGAAATTCAACATTGGTGCCAATGCCACTTCACCACAAAAAAGTGTGTGTGTGCGTATACATATGTGTGTGAGCGTTTCAGTGTGAGGCATGTGTGCATAGTGTGTGTTCAGCATGTGCTGGCACAGTGTCAGTATGTATTAGCAGTGGATGCTGGTGGGTTTGTGTGCTTGTATACAGGTGTGCATACTGCATAAATAAATGCTGCATGTACAGGTTTATAGAAAACATGTCACAGCAATGTGTGTTGGCAAAAGACAACATGAAAGAGCCAAAGAAAAAAAAAAAAAGTCCTGACAATGATTAAATCCAAAAGTCCATTATTCATCTCTTTACGGGCTGAATCAACAGACAGACCTCTGCATTTATCGGAGAGAGTGAGTGCGGGACTCCAGCACAGCCCTGCAACTCAAACATTTTCCTCAAATAAGCTCACAGACTCGGCAGCTTCGTCCCAGCCAGAAGAAACTTTAGTAAGGTATCGAATGATGCTAGAGTACACATTTCATTCAAACCTGATATTCTTTTTCAAGAGGGGTCAAGTGTTTTTCTTTGCAAGCAAAATATTTTCTTTGCTGGTGGGTACCAATATTAGCACAGTGGACTTGCAGTGTAAGGATGATCAGCCACTGTTCCACTCATGAGCAACATACAAGGTTTTCCAAACCGACGCACCAGGTGTGACAGAAGTCGCTGTGATTTGTGCTACATTCAACTTGAAGTAAAGAAAAATAAAGAATAATTTCCCTTGGATTTATGCTGGGAACACTTCTTAAAATGCAGAGCGCAGCAACGGCGAGGTTGCACAGAAACAGCAACGGGTGTGACTGAGAGTTATGGGTTTTTTTCTGGATACCTGGCTCGTAAAAATTCAAACTATCGAGACTCTTCTGACACAACGGCACCTCAGCTCCATGCTCACCCCGTCATTAACATGCAAGCTCTCTCACTCACTGTCAATCTTTCTCTCTCTCTCACTTATTTAATATATGTGTAAACACACACAGCACACAGATGCAATAAAAAAGACAATAAAAAGAGAGATAGGTTTGCATTTTTAGGAGTAATTAGAAAATCAGCTGTGCAGCACTGAAAGCGAGTATATCACAGTACACTACAGCGTCCCTCTCGCACAAAATCCTACAGTGAGGATTTGATAAAACATCCGCAGGGCAGTATATTTAATCACATTTATTACTGAGTAATCGTTCACATTTTGCAATCACAAGGTAAAAGTAAAAGGTCAGAAATCTCCCGTCTGAGGTAAGTTCCTCCTCCACTGTCTCATTTCCATCAGGATAAATATTACAGTGTGTGTTTGTTCAGAGATTCCTTTCCGTATAAATCTAAAGTAATGGTTGAGAATGCAGTTTAAACTCCAGCTCTGTCCCCAAATGGGAGTATGTAATATGATCAGCCTGAAATGAGGCATGATACAAAAGACTGATGAGTACTGAGATCACTTTCATACTCCATGCTCACCATAAGAGCCTATAAAACAACACAAAAATGCCTGGAATACAGCGCATATTCCTCCTAGGATAGAGATAGCAGTATGAGAAGTACAAGTTGAACTAAAGGAAAACTTCATTACAAAAATAGTACAAACCAATATAATGTGAAAATGAATTACTAATCATGAATGTGTAATGTTTTGGTGTGTAATGAATTAGTATGTGCTCTCCGAAAGGAGGCTGAAAACTATTTTAATCCATAAAAAGATACTGAATTTATTAAAATGTCACTCAATTGCCTCAGCCGGTCAGAACCAAACAAACAGATGTGTGTTTGTGTGTGTCTGCCTCAGTGTTAATCTGCACAACATAATCCACAAACGCAATAACACATAACACATCTTGCATTCCCACAATTTACGGGAAGCAAGTTCAAAAGCGTCGCAAAGACAATGAGACGATTCATTCTGGTCCGGGATGCTGGGGATGGAGGGCTGAGGGCACAACTGTGCTCCAAGAGAACTCATAAATGCTGAGACACATTCTGCAGACATATGGTTTGTGTTTAGCAAGAAGAAACAATAATCAAATCCGTTGATCCTCTTCTTGCTGCAAGGATGATTGCTAATATAAAAGTCTGTTCCGTCTAATCATAATTTAGGATGGGGCTGTAATTACCTCCGCCCTCTCACAACAACACTCTGTCTAAACAGGATGGAGCAGGCTTCCACGGAGACACAAAGCCCAGTTTCCACTCTGGATGCTATCTGTATGACAGTGCTCATTTCATCTAATGTAACTGGGTAAAGTTTTTACTGTCACTGATGAGGAAGTCAAAGTTTATGTTATTTATTTTAGTAAGGCACCAAAGGATGTTCAAATATAAATTTTGAGCAATTTATTTTGATAGACCTAACCATTTTTAACATTAAGACTGTTCTAAAATTGAGAGAATAAAACTAAATAAATATTTCTAAATTAATAACTGTTTAAAATATCGTTTTAAACTGTCAAAACTTGAAGTTGCCAAGTTTTCAGTATTTAACCAAATGAGCCAACATCACTAATTCTCCCATGAACTAAACGCTGCCATGCCTTGTTAACATCCATAGGAAATGCACACTTGCTTGGCATTATTCCACACACACTGCACATCACTTCACATGGCCTTCGTGTGCAACAGAGACTTTGATTCTGCTGTTATTTATGAATTGGCCACGGATCCAACACAGCTCTGGGTTTAATTAACAGACCCCATCCACAACTGCAAACAGGGCTCTAAACACAAATACACAGCACAGCTGCAGCAAAGGATGCTATTGAGGAGTCCATATTTTAAATGACGGCTTTAAACAATCTCAAGTAACCTTGAACTCCTGATTGCTCACACTGGCGAGACTGACACAGCTGCTGTTTGACCGAATTTGTTATTGTGATCCTCACAGTTTGTTTAAATGAGAGCAACAGCCATTACTACATTAAATGTTATTCCAATTTCTCTACAGTGCTCAGAAATCACTCAAATTGGCGGATAAACTTTGTTGATCAACTTTATAAACTCTAATCGCCTCAACAGCACCAATTAAACACTTAATTGAGGGCTCTTGCCGCACATTACTCGGCCTACCTTGCGCGGGTGGGAGAGGATGGCACGGGCGCGGGGCTTTGGCTGACAGATGCGCCTTTTCCTCGGGCGCGATGAGTCTCTTCGGGCTCCCGCAGTCCATGTGAGTCGGGGTGTCATGGGAGCTCCGGCAAATCTGAGATCCAAAACCACCGCTGCCGGCTCGCCGCATACAGATGTCCGCCTTGCTGCCGTACACGGCGAGCGACAGGCCGGTGAAGTCTGTGAAAGTCGGGGTCTGACAGTGGCTGACCATTCCGAACAGCGCTGAGGGGTTCTGCATTGGTGACTCGGCTTTCCCATGCAGTGTGCGGCCGCTGCTCACATTACCTGAGAAGAATGACTAAAATGACTCAATCTGCATCAACACGAAGACAGCGTGTTTGTTTGCCCGCCCCCCCTCAGTGCATCCATTTTAACGAAAAGAATCAACTCATTGGACAAAACGATTAAACTTCAGGCATTTAGGGAACACCTACCTTCAATCCAATCAGCCAATGAAGAGCAGAAACAGTCTAATCGCGCACATCGGCACGTTTATCAAACTGGAGGGGAAAGCATCTGCAAGCCTGATCGATAGCATCCTCTCAGTGCGGATCAGTCATCAGCATCCCATGCGTCTCTCCCTCCCTCTCTCTCTCTCTCCCTCTCTCTCTCTCTGATTGACAGCTCCAACACTGCTTCGCAGGATTCAGGAGCACCAATGAAGACCGTGTCCGTGTTTCTGTGGGAGGATAAACATCTGGATCAGGACGGTTGAGTTTGTACTTCTGAGCTTGGATGTGAGGTTTTTGCGAGCTCCTGCATGCGCACACGGTACTCGGCGCTTGCGCAGCATTCAAATCTTGATGTTAAGAAATGTAAAACAGGTTACTCAACAACGAGGTATTCCAAGTTTTGGTATGTCCCGCGGTATACTGTCACACTGATCAGATCATATCAGCAACTGCTCTGCTTTGTTTCAGAAATATGTATATCATAGAGAGACTATTTGACCAGCGACATTTCATGAAATATCGCTCAAATTCAGTTTGAATGCCACATAGACTTATGCAATAAAGCGCACGGTTCTTTCTGGAGTTAAAGATGAATATGGGCTATTGCGATTTTTATTAAGCAATGCGACCTGTGCACCAAGCACTTAGTAATACTGCAGAATTATTATATGATATATTTTCTCTTTTGAAACAGGCTATGTTTAAAAATTAAATAATTCATTATAGAATTAAAATAGTCTGTGTTGAGATTATCTACAAGAGGATTTTTTATGTGAGAAATGCTGTTCTACAGCGCCATCTAGTGGCCTTTACGGGGAAGGGAACCCCTAACTAGGTCAGAGTTGACACTGTCAGGAACAACACACACTTGTGGTTTTTATCATGCAAACGAAAGGTGGGTGCAAGAGACTGCGAGTTAAAGTTTATAATGTTGTGGAGTGTGTGGTGGGATGCACAGCACAGTCTGGTCTTTATAAATCTATAAATATTGCCAGTGGTACCAACGCGGAAATGCGCGACTGGATAACCGGGTCTGATGGTGCCTTTGCGTGCTCTTGGAAATTTGATAGTCTGTTGATAGTTTAGTGCAGTTATGTGTTAGTGTTGGCATTTTATGTCCCTTCACTGTGACTTTGTCATGCTGCTTTACCACATGCAACACATCTCATTCATTTTACTCTTGTTTATTCTGCTGTATGTTAATTCTGGCCAAATTGCTTCTGGAACAAAAGGCCAAAAACTGTTAGATTTGGACTTTAGAATTTCAACTCTGATCTACAACTTCTGCCACTTTGTATGTTATTGTCTGGTGATTTAATCTGGGTATATAAACAACTAATTTTAAAAAAGTGATGGTGAAGAGACAGATAACGACAGATCAAATAAAACATGGAGTATAATAAGTAGATTATTGTTAAATCATTAACTAGAGATATAATATGGTGACTATCACATGCAGGTCGTAGGTAATCATGAAAAAAAATAAGAAGAAGGTTGTTTAAGTCTCAAGTCAAGCCATGTATTTGCCGTCTGACCAGTCTTATATGGAGGGTCTCTGTGTTGCCAGGGGGGTCAACATTGTAAATAACATATGTTATTCATTATAACACAATATTGTACTGTTTTTTTCTGTTTTCTGTCTTAATAATCAAAACATTACACTGTCACATCTGTAGTCCTGAAGTTTCATCAACCATTGTTCAACTGTTGATCTCTGAGCTTGAACAGGGGAAATGTAGTGCAAACAGCAAATATAACAAAATAAAAACAAAATAAAAATATTACAAAAAATATGAATAATAGAATTATAATATATTATAGAAATCTAGAATATATAACATATATACACTGTATACAATAGTTGAATATGGTCTAGATGGATAACTGGAATGGATAAC